TGCAGCCACTAGCAGTCTATTCGCGACCGTCAGCAGGCGCATGGCCTATGGAGGTTCCTTTTCCAGCTGGTTGCAACCCCCCATATCGCAGATGGGATACAGGGGCGCCTTGTTGGCGGCTTCCAGCTTGAGTGTACATCACTGCCATGGCAATGATGCCACCGCATGCATAACGGATAAGATTTATCGGTAAGTGGCGAGGCACCATGCCGCATGGGCTGCACCCAGCTCAAGAGAGTGCTGGACTGCAGGGATGGTTACGGCAACGAAAAGTAGTTGACACAGTGGCTTCGTTCGCCAATTACATGTCCCTCGTTCTTTCCTTGAATTGCTTTCGTGATGCGAAGCTTGGGGTCCTCTTTTCCCCTTTCATTGTGAGGTCGTTGTAGACAGCTAGATGCAGATGCTGTCGTTTTATTTGAACTCCACAAAAGATACGGTTCATGACCAGTGAGTCACTTTTCACGTTGCTGCAACGGATGCATTCACTCATGCCATATGTCAATGCCACATATCACAACGGCCATCGCCCAGCGGCCTCGAGGGCAATGACTTGCATATTTTGATAAGCACAATCGACACACCCATCAAGCCCTGTCAAGCTCACCAGTGGGCACATTCAAACAAAAGAGCATTCAAACGAGGAACATCACAAACCACGAGCGGCCAACCCATCGTTCCCAAGCCTGCCACTATTCAGACATGGCACACATGACATGTGTCCCCACAACAGTCACGCACCACTCCTAAAGCCCCCACGCTGCCCTTTCCCTGATCGCTAGTGCAGGTCGTAAACTCTCGTAAACCCACCAGGGATTCTCTATGTCTCCACATTGGAGTAGGCACCCATAAATAAGAAGAGCTTGTTCTCATTGTCCCGGATGAAAAACGTGAAAGGCCGATCTGCAGTAAACACCTCGTCCAGTATGAGCGCGACCACCCCAATGTTCGTCGCTGCAGCTGCGGTTGTTCCCTCCTCATTCACCTGTGACGCAGCAAGCATGCGCAACCCGTCAGTGCGATCTCCAAGAGCACCAAGACCACCACAGCCGAGAGGTCGTCTTCCACGACCACTTCAGTCCACACTACAGCATCTGCCACAAATACAATAAACTTCTGCTTTGGCCCCTGCAACCCAATGCAAGGCCCACCTAAACCCAAGTTGGTCGTGCCACAATGCCTCTTTTGTGCCCTCAGACAAGGCAATCACGATTTCGCTCTCGATTATGGGTGTACTGCACATCAGCAGTCAAGCGACTCCTGCTGGGGCCCTTCAAGCCAAGTTTGCCAAGACCAACACATTGCAGCATGGTCTTCACCAGACACGCAGCAGCTTCTGTTGCTACACAACCTTGGAACTTGCAGGGTTCTGGAAGGGATGTTAGCCATAATGTGCCATCCAAGGTCACCATGTACCTGCCCATTTGGTCATGATGGTCATTTTCGTGTACAGGGCTCAGTAGAAAAGAAAAAACGAAAAGCCCTGAGGTTTGAGGCCCTTTGAATCCTTCATGACCTTACGACCAGTTCATTACCTTCACATCTGGAATTGATAGTTTTGGATCAGCCTCAGTCTGTGCTACATCCAAGCTTTCCGACCTCGCCTCCAACTCGTGCACTGTCAGCAAAACAACCTTTGTGCACTTGCCCAGGCCTGAGTCTCAGCCCATCCTCTAGGATTTCCAGCTTGAGGTTCAGAATTGCATCAACATTCAGTACAAAGTTATGCCCGTTGTCGCCTTCTATGAGCAAGGGCAATGCCATGTCATGCTGTGGCCAAAGTCAACAAACGGCTAGTAGCTGCCTATGTGTATCTAGGCTTTCAGCGATATTGGTTTCTAGGATGTCAGCAATCGTGAGCTTGGAGCCCAGCGACTGGATGCCCTGGCCTTTGAGCAGGGGCAGGGGTTCCTCACCTGGATCCTGGCCTTGTGCACTGCGGTGTCAACAAACAGAGGAGCGTCGGATATGACGCCCAACTCTGCGTCGCCTGTGAACACTCGTTCTGTGCCCAGCTCGGGCAAAATTTGCTTCAAGTCGTAGGACTCCTCGAAGCTGAAGCGGGGGATGGTGACCTCAGTACTGACCTTTACGAACTCGGGCTGATCCAACACTCTGAGGGCATCGGCAGCAAGGTCGACTTGGAAGGAGGAATCGAGGTCTGGGTTGTTCAGCACGATGATCATGCTGAACCGGCTGTTCTTGTATGGGAGCTCAAGTACCTGGTGAAGCAGTTGAAGAAAGTGAATGAATGCATCGTGGGCAGCAGAGCGACAACACACCAGTAGTGGCATGTGGCTGAGTTCAGATCATCAGACAGCATCAGTCTTTTTAGCAGTCTGAGGGGACCTCACAATGTTTGGCAAAGAGGAGCAGCTGGAGCGAAGGTGTATGCATCAACCGGTTTTGGACATCTGTTCTCCATCTGGTGATATGATGCACCGCCATTAGAAAGCTGTCAGCAATTCGCTGGCAGCACTCAGCACACTATTAATGGGATCAATAGATGTCCCCTTTTCCAGGGTTCAGCAGGACTAAGAACGCTCATGTCAAGTTAGAAAGCAAACTCAAACAGGCTACTCTGCAATTCCAATAGGATACTTCGTCAAAACAGGACATTTTGTGTAAGGAAACATTTTCAACCACCCTCCAAGTCCGAGCATCCTTTTCCCAGAGGACAATGCCTTGCATAACTGCAAGCAATGCACAAATCCTGTGCTGCTCCACACCCCACAGAGCCTGACTCACACAGGAACGTCCCCCCACCCCCCACCCCCCACCCCCCCTCACCCCCCTCTTGCGTGCGATCGTCCTGAATGCAACTCCGATGCCAAGGATAGCAGACCAAGGGTACCTCAACTCACGTTGTTTTCCATGTCATACTTGAACTCCTGCGTCTGCTTCATGAACTCGACCTGTGCCTCCCCATTACTTCCATTGAAAGTCATATTTGTTGTCTTTTCAACATCGAATTTCAGATCCCATGTCCCCTTGAAGTACAGAGCGTTGACTAGTGCCATCACTGTGGAAGGATCAAGCTGTCCAGGGGCGATAAGGTCGTCAATGAAGCCATTAGTCTGCTCGCTGACCCAATTGTTAATCTGCTCCATCGCCTGCATGGAAAAAAGTTTCAGGTGACCAATACGATTCAGACGATCAGTGAGATCAGGAAGAAACAGAATTCACTACGAAAATTCAGGCACAACTTCAGGTCCGAAATCAGCAGAGTCTGAATGGGTCTGCAACACGTTGCGACTGATTTCAAGGGACCCCTCCTGCCCAACATCTTTATCTCTTCCAGGCATATGTGGATGCAACTGCTGGGCATATGCAGCACGTGGCTTTGCTAATACTTAGAGAAGCCCCAAATAGTTTGGCTGGAATGTTGTGTTGCTCCATCTTCAAGCTTGTGCAACAGTTCAATCAGCTTGTGACTAATATCACACAAGTTGTGAAATATATCAGCTCGAGTCAATCGTGAGGCACATCAGTTCAGTTCAATCAATCAACCTGGTCGGTGTCTTCGAAGTTCGTCCCCTCCACATTGCCCTCCCCAACCTCTTCCACAAAGTCTGGCTTCAGCTCCAGGCGCTCCTGCACGTACAGCCTGGTGGCTAGACTCAGTTGCTCAGCCACGTCCTCATTCTTGTACGCATCCAGGATGTCTTGCAGGAGGAATGGGTAGCACTCACTCACAAACTGCAGGGTGACCCCAATCTCCTGCTGAGTCGTAGTGTCCTTCTCGGCGCCTATGTGCAGCAGGGAGAATGCCGCAGCGATGCTGAGGGGCGAGAAGACGATGTTGCCATTGGGACTGGTGGGAAGCACATTCCTGAAGAAGTTGAAGCCAAAGCTGTTGATGCTGGCAGCGACATCAGTGGCCACCACGGAAGGGGGGGCTGGGTCCTTGCCACTCAGGCCGGTGCTTATGTCAGGCCTGGAGAAGAAGTCGTTGAGCTGGCAGTCAAGGGGCCGCAGGGCAGCGTGCGACTGCAGAAGGGATCCCAGGGCAAGGAGGGCAACGAGGCCCAACGCCCTCATTGTGGGAGACGCTCAGGGCACTGTCAAGGCCTCCTGCACAGACAGGAGAAAATCGTCAGTGACAGCATTGGCACAGGCACCAGCAATTGGCTAAGCAGCGGGCGTTGGAGTTGACAAGCAAAGAAGCCAGACGCTTGACACTCTTTCCACACTGCAGGCATGATATCAAAGACTCGTCCAACAACACAAGGAATGGGATGTGCACAGAAACAATAATGGCTGGCTCAACACGAACTCCAGAGCGGGCATCTTGAACTCCACCCTCACAAAATGTTCTCCCAAAAGTAAAGGGTTGGGTTCACACGCATATCCCAATACACAACCCCATCGCTCCTGCAGCCGTTCTTCAAAGCCACACCCTCAGTTTCTGGGTACTGTTAGCAACACAACTGTTCTCAGGCTGTGGCCAAAACTTGGAAGGACAGACTTCCCTGAAAATGCAGCAAGCCCTGACGTCACCAGTGCTCAGAGCCGCCCTGGCAATTGGGGAGCTCTATGGAAAGGAACCACAATCATCAACCCCAACCTATCCCCTGCGTGTGGAGGCGTCCATTGAAGGCCCCCAAACACCACCGTCCTTTCCCGGCCACCTTCCCTTCCCTTCTCCGGTAGTTTATCCTCTTTGAACTGGTTCTTTCTCTGCGCCGCCCTGAACTCCGCTACGCCGAACGGGGCACTCTGCCGAACTCGGAACGTGCCCTGACAGTAAAATGTCTTGCAACTGTATTTCCACGCAGCGCGCCCATCTTAACGTCCGTCCTCCCGCCCATGTCGGCGCACCACGCGGACGAGAATCTCGCAATTGGGAGAGAGCAGCCCTAAACGCTCAGCTCGCCGCCACCCTCCAAGAGTTGGGCCCTAACCGCGGATGCAAGTCCTCCGGCGGCGATCCGCCGGCTGGGCCGCCCAAGGCGCCGTCGTGCGAGCGGTTCTTGCCAGCAGGAAGCAAGTTCCCCTCCGTTTCACTTCGCACAAGAACGCACCCTGCGCCCCCAGCCGCCCACCAAGCGCCCAGGCGCCCGCGCGGGGTCTCGCCGGGCAGGAGGGGAGGAGGAGAGGAGAAGAGAGGAAAGGAGAGAAAAGGAGGATCGCGTCGCTGGTGGACTGTCAGCCGTGTGTCGCAGACACCCCACGCCGCCCTGCGGACCCGTCGCACGGTCCCCTCCGTTCACCGCTGCTCCCTAGAAACGCGCCAGTCCCAACTTCGAGCTGCCTGGAGCACGCCGCGGTCGTTCCCGCACGTCTCGACTTTCGGGGCCGACGTGTCCCCGGTCAGGCGACGTCGTCGGCGGGGTGCCAACGGTGCGCGTCGCGATGCGCTTTCGGAGCGAGCAGCGACCAAGCCGACGGAATCAGACAGGACCGGCTCCGCCTCAAGCCCTGGGAGGGTCTGCGCGCGGGAACGTTGCGCGCCGCTCGAATGGGCGAGAGAGTTTGGCGATGGCGGTGGGTTCGGGAGGCGGCAGCAGCCCAGAGGTTGTCGATTGCGAACCCACCCACCGCAGGGTTGGGCTCAAAACTCCGCTTGCGGGTGACAATCCGGCAGGCGGCGCCAGGCCCCGCTGTGGATCGTGAAGAAGAGAATGCGACGCCCCCTGTGCCGTGCGCCAGGGACACCCCAGAAGGGCGGCGGGGCGGGGCCGGCCGCAGGACCACCCAGCAGGAGGCTCAGACGATCCGCACGGACGTCCCCGTCAAAGCGTTGAGCCCCACGCGGTGCGCACCAGGGCCCGGCGGAAACGAAGGACCGAAACACAGGAAACGGAAGGCTTTGGAAGGCACTGGCAGGTTATCCTGGGCAGGTGCCCCCGAAGTGTGACCAAGGGCCGCCCAGGGGCGACGGCATGGATATGGGCGGAACTCTGCCCACCGCCAAGCACCCATCGGCGGCACAGCGCATCCGCGGCCGTCGCGCCGACCACCCGATGCGCTGCCGCCCCAGCGCATGAAAAATCTGCACCAAAACGAAGACACTTTGCACGCACCCGCGCCATGGGGCCCGGAGTTCTGTATCCGGTGACTTTGCGAGCTGCCGCTGTTCGGACACCAGAGGGCAACCTCACCTGTGTAGCTCGCGGCCGGCGTGGCACCCTGGTGGAGGTCGACCCCTCTTGGCTCGGCGGGTTTTCTGGACCGACGAGTCGCAGGGCGCTGTGGAGTGGCAGCGCCGGCTGCCCGCGGCCTCCCGAGGACAAAAGCAGCGAAACGCGAAAGGGGACGAGGAAGGAAGGGGACGAGTTCTCAGTGTCAGCCCAAAAACGACGATTATATACGTTGCTTCGTTCGGACCAGTCCGAATTGCGCAGCGCCCAATGAAAGCTTCCCACATGGATTTATGCGTGGCAACGGTCAGACCTGTGCCTGATGCTCACGGGGACGGGAATTTGCCGAGAAGCTTCTCAACCAGAGGTGGGATTTTCGCGTTTGTGTGTCGTTCGCGCCGAAACGGTAGCCTGAATCGCACGTTCAGGTTCCCGTTTCCCGAACCCAAAGACACACTACACGTTTGCGCTCCCGTTTTAAAAGACCACACGTGAGGCGCACGTTTGTGTTTCCGTTTCAAAAGCCCAGACGTAGGGTACCCGTACACGTACACGTGGTACACGTTTGTGTTCCTATTTTGAAAGGTCAGATGTGTGGTGGACTTGATGTTCGGCACCCAAGTGGACTCGTTTGCCGCCGAATCGTGCTTCGGTCCAGTACAATGCGACTTTGTTACTTTGCTTGTGTCGGCTTTCAGTCAGTCACGATTGGTTCTTCGGTTCTGCAAGCCAACCCATTCAATAACATTTTGTTCGGCCAACCCATCCTCGTGCACAGCATCCACCGCCAAGACCCAATGGACCCAGTGGCTGGTCTGGGGTGGGCTGGGCTGGTCGGTGCAACGGTCGGTGCTGGGCTGAATTCCTGTTTGATTGGAAGCTTTACAAACGCAAGCGTCTGCTGAAGGTCGGCGTTGACGTTTACGTAACTCAACCGCGGGGCGCACGTTCGCGTTCCGTTTTGAAAATCCGAACGCCTTGCACACGTTTGCGTTTCCGTTTTGGAAAACCAAAAGTAGTGGACACGTTCACGTTCGCGTTTCAGTCGTCTGCGCCCACCGCTGTTCTCAACTTGGTGCCGCTGTGTCAAACAGAAGCCTCTCTACGCTGTTGAGTTTCCGTGCACTTTGCCTTGGCACGAGTCAAGTCATCAACATCCAGTGCTTGGGCCCCAATGCCGGCCAGGCCACAGAAATGTGATGGACTGATTCACTCCGTCAGTAGATTCACTCGCGGCAACAGATTTGCGAAGCCATGTCTGCCACCCCTCCTAGGTGTGCAGCTGTGGCTGGACTTTGCCAACCCACCATTGGCGGCTGCCACGCTGCACAGGTGATGCCTGAAGGATCTAAATTCGCTTGATTACATTGTCGCAATATGACAAAGCAGTGCCCTTGTAATTGTGAGTCGACGAAAACTGCTCACCTTCACAGCTATCTGATCTCAGGGTGATACGTTGCTCAATCGCCACCAGAGAGAATTGCAGCCCTGGGGCACCTGGCATCCTGTGCATCCACCCTTTCTTGCTTTGTCCCTATCATTGCACATTTGGCACTCAATTTCCTGGCAACCAGCACTTCACCTTAGACTCAAACTCAAAATGAGAATTAAGTTTGACTGAACATCCCTTTAGTGCCCTTAAATGCCCAGTTGTACCAGAGCCCTATTCCATCTGCATGTCTGTTTACTCCACTGGCTGATGCGATTCTTGGGCGTGTGGCTTCATCCTCACAATGAACACACAACCACGATCTGGTCCGGCACTTTCCATGCAGAGACATCTTCCAGAGGCCCAGAAAGGCTCTGAAGGAATCTGGGTGCAGATACCACAGCCGCAGCACTCGCATTACGGTTGGTTGGGAAATAGGCTGCCGATCTTTGCTTGACCATTCAAAGAGAATTTTGTCAAATGGCCCTGTTGCTGCCGCACCAGCCTGGTAGAGTGCAAAAGCCAAGGGACCAAATTGATGCTGTTGGAATTGCTGCTATATTTTAAAAACATGGGGGTCCAAAACATCAAGGCACTGTTCCACTGTGCCTTGCTGACAATTTTCCAACAGTCCACAGAGCCTGGAACATCTCTGCAATTTCAGGCCAGCACTGTCAACTAGGCACTAAAGGACAAGGGGGAAGCGCAGAAAGGGAAGGTGGCAAATCAGAGCAAGGCACAATGTCTCTGTTTCAATGGCTGGTGTCTGTGTGGTCCAGAGACCCCATAGCTGTGCATGGGGATCTTCTGTGGCAGAACACCTGTCAAGTTGTTGCACTGGGCATTCAGCAGAGGCACAGTTCCCACTGTCATTTCAAAAGTGCATGTTGTCAAAACTGGCAAAGCATTGCCTTTCGCCCTTGCAGGCATACATATTTCCACTACCAGCATGCATTCCCAAGGATTCACTACTTTCTTGTCATTCACTTGGCAGTTGCCAGCAGTTATAAAACCTGACAGGAACTGAAACTGCTCACAGTCCATATCAAGCAGGGTGAGCCATGATTGTTCCTATTCGAACTTGCCGGTGTGTCAACAAACGACTTGAGGACTCCTCGATTTGCAAACAGGCTTGCTGCACCCAGGTGAGCAGCTTTTCGTCAAACACCAACAATCACCCACATCTCAACATTGAGGACATGGTCACAACAGCTCCGAGGCAAGGCAGCCATGCCTTGCTGCTCAACAGGGATATTGACATTGTTGGTCAAGTCTTTGCGATGTGTGTGCAGGGTCACTGTCTTGCTATGAGGAGGCAAGTGCATCTGACAAAAAGTCAACAACGGACAGTATCATACAACTTTTTATTGTTGCTAGCAGCTTTTTTCTGAAACTGTATGCTATCTAATTCTTTGACATCGGGTTTTCAGGGGCACCATGTACCAGTGAACGCACGTCATTCAGTGAAAGGACCACAACAACAGCACAAAGAAAGCACCAATTGTCTGGCACGTAGCTTGCGTTTTTGAATTGAGGCCAGGGCTTGGCCCACACAAACACCACGCACATTTCATGGACTTTGCACACTACAGTTGCTGGTGGCATCCTCTGTCAGTACAATGTGAGCAGAAGGGAATTTCTGTTTTCAAGCCACCATTTAGTCATTAAAGTGCCAAATCAAGGTTGATGTGGGCTGCCAACGAACATTGTGATATCGTCGGCAAATTATTTCTGTTTTCAAGCCACCATTTAGTCATTAAAGTGCCAAATCAAGGTTGATGTGGGCTGCCAACGAACATTGTGATACCGTCAGCAGCTTCAAATCGCGTGCAAAAATATACAACATGTCGACTCAAGCCTGCCAACAGCAACGAATGCAGCTCTTACATCTGCACACAAATTTCTTTCTCTTGATCAGAAACATATCCACAGACACAAGCAAACCCCAACACAATGCCATTTGCAGGCACAGGGCAACAGTTAAAGGCACACAAGCACAGCTTCAACACTTCCATGTCTGAAACCTCCACTAACCCCACCTCCCGGATAGTGCATTGTCCACAACAGTCCTCTACAATCTGCATCATTCACCAGATGGTTTTTTTGCTCCATCTGTGGGCCAGCACTTGGGACATGTCCTGCCCCGATTCTGCCTACCATCGCACACGTTCAGCCTCTTGTGCAGATAGGAACACCAGCTCACCTTGCATGCAAACCTAGACCCCTGCCCAATTTACTGTTTTCAAACTTCAAGTTGCTTCTGAACATTCAGGTTCACCTGACTTGCGTGCTTGTTCACGATATGATCCAACTGACAGTGTCAGAACTGAAATAAGACAGGACCCTCCGCTGGGTGCTCCTCAGGCTTCAGATTTTTGATGACCCCTGTCTCCATCTTCTGCCTGCTTGCACCTGTGTGGGAGTCAACTACCTCTCCATTCCGGAAGAAGTAAAAAGCAGGTGTGGCCGCCACACCCAGGCGGTCCCTCATCAAGCTTTTGGTGCTGGCATTGAGGTTGCCCAGTACCTTGAGAAAAGTGGCCGCCCTGGGCAGAGTCCAAAGAGGAGTCAGCAAACTTCTGTGTCTGATGAGTATTGGGGAATCAGCATGTCATTATGCGCCACAAGCACTTTGCTGATAGTTATGAGCACATCAGCCGGCGTGCTGATTTGTGCATCCTAAACACTGATCCCAAGCACTCTGCCAAACTACTGTATGCTGTCCTCAGCAGAGAGTTCCATTGATGATACGGAGCCCATATCATTGCACTTGCAAATTGTCCCATTTGAGATAGGGCACAGTGATGGGAGTTGGCTGCGTTGGGCAACAAAATCATGGGTGCAAAGAGTGGCAGTTGGGAAGCAGTAACATTTGACTCATGCAGCCACGCTGGTACTCATGAGATCCACGTTGTCAGCTCATCACTTGCAGTTTGTCCCACAATTGGTAACAACCCAGCTTGCTGGACAGACGTTACTGATGAGTCGCCACAATGGCATGCTCTGCATTGGACACAAAGCAAAGACAGTGGTAGCTAATTGGCTCCAATAATGCTGGTCTTTCCTTCGGATTTCAGCCTGCAGTGATCCAGGCTTGGATGTCCTTGTTGGCCGTGGTATTACCCCAAGCGAATGATGCAATCTATGACTCCATGGACAACACTTGTCAAATTCAGCAGGTGTTGAAGTGCGCAGTCAATTGTGATCAACTGCACAGTGTGCTCAGCCGAATTTGGAAAATGATTTGAGCAAGTGAGGTACAGGAGCGATGCTGAGTGAATGCCAATGCCATGTCAATCCCGTTCGTAGGTACGCCTCAAAACAACACTAACCAGCTTATGGTTATGCAGAGGCGGCAACGAAACCCCCAGGCCACTGCCACACTCAGTATTTTGGCGATGGCAGCTCATTTGGACGCCAATGCCATTGATGCCATCATAGTCACTATGAAATGTCATCACAGCCAATGCGATGGCATTTTTTAGTGTCAATCCACCATCATAGTTGGTATCTCCAAAATGGCATTTCATGTTCATCCTCGTCCCCCGCGCTGTGTTCACTGTTCAACTGAGGGACCTCTGCGCCGTCTTCCGTCGCGCAAGGGGTTTACCCTCCAAATGCTTTGCCCAAGATTGCGCAGCTCAGTTCCCTTTCTTCGAATCTCCCCCCCCTGTCCTCACGCATGCGCAGATCAACAACCAGGGACGTCAACTTCCCCTGGGGATCTCCGGATCACCAACGATCACGCGCTTCTCCTCCAGGAACGGCCTGGACCCCGCGTGCGCCTCCCCGCACCGCTCCGACGTCCGCGACGCCCAACCGGGCGGACCGGCGCCCCACCGACCTGTACCGCTCCGCCAGCTTCTTGTACGGCTTGACGGCGGCCTTGCAGGGCCTGCACCACGCCAGCCCCGCGAACAGGACCACCAGCCCTGGAGCGGACGCCAGCACGGCGTCCAGCTCCTCCTCGCTCTCGATCTCCCGCACTTCACCCGCGGCAACCTCCGCCGACGGCGCCCCAAAGCCGGCGCCCGGAGAGCTGGCCTCCGGCGCCAGCCGTATGTAGTCCAGCACCTGCCTCAGGTCCAGCAGCTTGTCGTGGAACATCAGCAGGAACTCGTCGAACTCGATCGTTCCCGAGGCGTCCACGTCGTACTTGCGGAACGTGGCGGCTATGCGCTCCTCGCTCATGCCCTGCCCCAGGCTAGCCAGCAGCCGCGACAGCTCGGGCATCCCGATGGCCCCCCTCCCGGAGGCGTCCATCGCCCGGAAGGCCTCTTCGTAGTCCGTGACCCGGCCCTTGAGCAGCCGGTCGTCGGCCACGATCGCCACGAATTCGTCGAAGTCGATGTCGCCGCTGCCGTCCGTGTCGTACAGCGCTATGGCGTCCCTCAGCGCCGACTCCGGTAGCCAGTGGTCCAGCAGGTAGGACCGGCCGCCCTCCGCGGACTCCAGCAGCGCCCGCAGCTCCTCCTCGTCGATCAGCCCGTTGCCATCGATGTCCGCCATCGCGAAGCGCTCCCGCAGGGACGGCATCTCCGTCTCGGGCACTGCCAGACTCGTCGACTCGTCGACCGATGCCTCGACGTTCCGCGACGACGCCGGACGGACGCCGGTGGGTTCCCCTCGCGGTCGTCCGCACAAGGTTCGTCTTTGGGATCGGCGATCGGGGTGTGTGGTGCGCAGGGGGGCGCCGGGCCCGTGCAGGGCGCCGGCGGTGGCGGTCGCCGCGCTCCTGTGCATGACCGTCGGCTCGTGCGCCGATCGACGTGCCCGGATGGAGCGGGGGGGAAGAGCCGCGAGGGGGCTGCGGCGGGAGGGATTTGCCAACTGGAACGCCCCGCCGCGCAAAAGGGGGTGGGTCGCCGGCCCACCGACACGCGTCTCGCCAGGCGCGGCCTTTGGGCGCCACGTGACCAGCTGACACGGCAGCGCAACCGAACTGTGCCAACACCCACCACCATTTCGCTTCGGGGGAAGCACCACCGGTATTCCCGGAGCGGCGTTCTGACCACCAAAGTTGGCCCCTTTTCAGGCAAGAAACGTCTCTGGTCTCGAGCGGCGTGCTGGCCGCCAAAGGTGCTTCTTTTCCGGTAAAGAAACTCTGTGTTTTACAACAGCACCGCGAACTCCAGCCGTCATGGCACCTAACACATGCGGCACTTTTTGATGCAAGCCATGAGGCATGTATTAGCGACTTGCGGCGTGTCGCTGGCCCGGGGCCCACGCACCTCCTCGCCGCCTTGCTGCGCAATGCGCCAGCCCCACGCCGAGCGAGGAGGGAGCCCTCGGCGCGGAGCCTTCCGCTGCAATCGCACGAACGTGACCATGCGCATGACGCCACAAACGACTGATCTGAGTGCAACAAAGGTGCATAATCGTCTTGAATTAATTCGAACAATTGCTCAACAACGGCAGCCAATGCTCAGTGCCGTCGCCGCCCCTTGCCTGCCTGTGTATATGGCCTCTGCTCCGGCGGCGCCTGGTTGCTTGTCTGGGTGACGTCCCCCAGACAAGCAACCCGTGGCTACCCATATCAACACGGGTGCCGTGAATGTGGGCGTGATGTGGCACATGACGCCCACATGAGCAGTACAGCTGCAGTAATGGTTGCAGCTGCGGCCATGGTCGTGATTGAAGCTTCGACTATGGTGGTCGTCAAAGATGCCATACAACGGATTCCGGTACCCACCTGTGGACGGGGTCCACGAGTCTTGGACACAAGGCTTGGATGTGTTGGGCAGCATTGAGCAAAGGCTATGATATGGGGGCTAAAATTGTGCTGCTACCTGTTGGATGCAGGGATATCGAAGTTGAGTATGGCGTGAGCTGAAACATTGCGAGAAACATTGGTTCAGAGTTGGTGCCAGCATTGTGAGACGACAAAGACAAATTTGTACAATGTGGTGACGCGTGGCACAATGCCAATTGTATGGAGAGCAAATAGTATCTGCATTTGCGAGATTCCTAAGTGGATATTATTTTCACAATCTTTGCAGAATTTGTCCGCTTGCTTGAAAGAATGTCTTGACAACTATAGGCCTCCTAGAAATCACAACGTAGAATCCCAATGCTTGTACGCACCCGACTCGACTTGGGTGCACACAAACATTCCTGAAAGCGTCAGGTTGTTCGAAACCTCACAGATGTATGCACGCATTAGAGTACTGTCCCTTTCACCAGGTCAACAATAGATAAAATGGCATGCACAAATTATACTTCCGCCTAATTCCTTTTGCTCTACTACGATATTTGGCACCTCGAAAGCCCCGATGCCAGGGTAGTTGTTGTCGCCGTTGGATAGGATGCCAGTACACAGCCGCCAAGATGTGTGGTTGCAACAGCACCGCAAGGCAGTTCGGACCGTGGGTAGGAAAAGGGTACTCTACGACCAAATAGTGTTGCGGGAATTTTGGCGACGTACAGCGCCAACAATTCTTGTTCATTGTGGCCCAGCTATTTGTGTCGTTGAACTGGAGGCTGGGGCTAACATACGAAGCTTCACCGCGGCAAAGCCACCACCAGGCCTAGCGGTGCCAAGGCGCGTGCATGGTGTTAATGTGCACATAACGGCTCTTCGTTGGTATCCGGATAATAGGGCTGTAGGCTTTTCGCAAAGAAAAACAGGACAAATTTAGCACTTACTAAACAAGATTTTGTCAGGACAACATGATCACTGGGAAAATCGAACAATGCGTGATCTGCCCTGATGATTAAGATCTCTTTCTTCCACTGGTAGCAGGCAGTGTGCTTTCAGTAAGTGCTAAAAACTTAGTAAATACTCGTCCTTTTGATTTGCTGTGGAGTATTCCTATCCTTTGCCTAAAAATTGCCAGTAAGTAAAATTGCCACATTTGGCAGCCATTGACGGGCATCGTTGATAAGAAAATGTGGTGCGTTCACAACGCTGCACAGTGGCAAAGATAGCACAGGTCACAGCCGTCGTTGGGCAGCAAATGAAGGCGCAATCGTCAACCAATGACGGTGTACATTTCTGCATTAAGTACTCACCGTAGAGTACCATATTGCGTTTTTTTTGTGTACTGTGGGAAGGGCACAGGTTGGGAGATAGACAAACCAGGTGACACGCTCGCGGCTGTAACAGTGTTGTTGAAGCTTCTGATCAAAACAGCTGCTCGTTCCTACCAAGGATGATTGAAAACTGGCGGACTTATGAGACACCTGCAGTTGACTGCATGTCATCTAACTGGGGAAGGAGAGCCTGACAATTGAGCCCCTCCTTCGTAGCGTTTCCCGTCGCGTTTCCCTTCCACCGCAAGGGCGACATGTGCCTTTGTTTGTGGACACAAACCTGTGAATGAGAGGAGTAGATTCTCACCCAATGTACCTGCACACACCATGAACACGCGTGTTCATGTGTCCAACGTTGTGTCGTTCATAGTGATGACAACACAGACCGTTGTGCAATCCATTACTCATAAGATGCGTGCGTATTTTGTGTGCAGCATTATATCCGATTGTGTTCATGCCTTCCCAAGCGATTAACTCAGTCACACAGGACTGGTTCCCAAAAACGCCTTGAGGAAATCTTCCTGGCAGGCAGTGAGTCACAGCCCAGCGTAGGCTGAACAGCAACCTACGCCGAACCTGAAGTGCGTGCCCTTGCCAGCAGCATCCACCCCCACGTCCCCCCCATCTCAGCGGGATCCGGTTGACTAATCCGCCAGAAAAAAGAGTTATCGTGTCTGGGGAGCCAACTTGCCGTTGCCACCGCAGGTGCCGGAGAGTCGTCAAGCGCGCCGCCTGGCGCCGCCACCAGAAAATCCCCGCCGCCGCCAAGCGGGCGCCAACCCAAAGTTCCCACCTGTCGCGTCAACGCTCTCTCCGCTCGGCCCCCCCCGGCGGCAAGTATATATGGCCGCGCAAGCCGTGCCGTGCCCCCGCGCGATACGTTTCACGCCAGGCGCGACAAAGTTCCGGTCAAAGACACGCCCGAGTTCCGCTCTACATAGGCGGCCCCAGGCTCGGAAATGGTAAACGAGGGATCCCAGAGTGAGTGGCGGACGGCAATGGTGGCTGCCCGGCGAGGTTGTGGCGCCGCACAGTGCGGCGCATGGAAATGAACGGGATTGGGGTAGGGGATGGGAGGTGGGGGGCTTTGTGCCACCATTGGAAGCTGTTGGCAATACGGTAAGGTTGGGCGTGGATTGTCTGGGCGAATGTTGGGGATGCGTCCGCGACGTCGTGACCTCGTACTGCCCGCAGCACCGATCGGGCCGCGGCTCCGGGCGCAGTGTCGTGAGCGGCGGCGCGGCGAGGCGATGACAACAGCAACTCGCGGGGTAACTACCCGCCCCAGGGGGGAGTTTGCGGGCAAATTGGCGCGGCGAGGTTTGCGCAGAATGCGGATGTTCTGATCTCGGATGTTTGCCGATTCGGATGTTTGGCGTGCGGACTGTGATCGTGCCGTTTTGCACTGCCGGCTAGATCAACCACGGGTTGGCCGGCAGCTAGCCTTAAGTGGGGCTCACGCCGTTGTGCGGCGCCTCGTCCAGCCATCGGGGTCCGCTCTGCATCTCAGCCGCCGCGGGCCCCGCCGACCTCCCTCCATGGAGACAAAACGGGGCCCTCCTCGCCCCTGACAGTATCTGGCACCCCCCTCCCACAACTCCCCGACCGTTTTTCTACCCCTCCCTCTAGACCCCGCCGCAACCCCGGTCAAAATTTTTGACCTTGACAGCGGCTTTTGACCCAAAGCCCCTTTTAACCCCGCTTGTTTTTCCTTGCAGCGCCCACGAACGTCGTCTGGGAGAAGCGCCCCGCGGAGGCGGGGCGCCGCGCGCCCTCGGGCCCGGTCAAGGCCTCCACGCCGCAGCGCCGGTGCCCCGACTGCCGCTGCGGCCGCGGCGCCCCGCCCACCTGCTTCGCGTCCCTGGGCATGACCACCGCGTTCTACACCCCGATGGATGCCGCGTGCGGCCCCTGCAGGCGGTGGTGGTCCAGGGCGGGGGATGCGCGGGCCAGCAGCGTCGGCCGCGCGCCCGGCGACGGCGCGCCAGGATATCAGCTCGACCTGAGGAAGCTGATGACGGATGCCGCGCGCCTGGGTTGCTGGGCGCATCCGGAGACGCGCTGAGAAGCTCACCAAAATGAAGAGTTTGAAGAAGTTTGAAGCATGTCAAAACAAGAAGAAGATCGAAGAAGTTTGAAATTGTCAGGGTCTGCGCCAGCGTCATGACGCGTCCATTCAGGACGGAACGGCAACGGCCGCCGACGCTGATGACGACGGCCACGGATGCATTGCGGAGCTGGAGGGGAAGTTCCCTGGCGCCAACCGCGGCCGAAGGGAACGGCGATCCTTCGGAGCGCGCGTGCTTGCGGTTGCTTTCGCTGCGAGGGACACATTTGTTCTCCTGAGCTCGCGAGGGTGGATGGTTCGTAGTTCAAGGAATGGGTGGCCGTGCCCTGTGGGGGCGTCGAGGGTCACGCACGGCAGAGGCCCTCTTGGCGTTCAGGCGCCATGCTGCGTCTGGGGCATCATGAGGGAAGTGGTGGTTCAATCCATGGGGCGGTTCGCCCGAACCATCCCGCTGCTGCTGCCTGAACACGGTGCGTGCGGCTGGAGCCGGGTGATAGGACGGGGCTCAGCCTTGTCCTCACTGCGGGCTCTCAAATTCATTTAATGAGCGTAGAAACGGGGGCTGTTGAACATAGAAATGGATTTGCCATGATCAACGGCGCGGGGATATCTTGGTGTTGAGTTTCAAAGCCGGAAGGTGATG